GCAGGTGATGAAAAATGAGAATACATGGACACAGGGAGGGGAGTACTAAACACTAGGACTCTTGCGGGGGAAAGGGGAAGCTGGGGAGGGATAGCCTGGGGAGAAATGCCAAATGTGGGTGAAGGGGAGAAAGGAAGCAAAACACACTGCCTTGTGTGTACCTATGCAACTGTCTTGCATGTTCTGCACATGTACCCCAAAGCCTAAAATGCAATAAAAAATTAAAAAAATATTATTATGACAAAGCCTGAACAAGAAATTGTGAACAGCCATTTCAGGAATAAAAAGATTCAAAAATAAAAAAATAATAATAATAAAATTAATTAATTATAATAGCATTCCATCTTTCCTATTCTTGCACTTTGGGGCCATCATTAAGTAAAATAAGGGTTACGTGAACGAAAGTATTGTGATACTGCACCAGTGGATCTGATAATCAAAATGACTACCAAGTGACAAATGGTGATTTCATCACATTACTCAGAATGGCCACCATCTATCACTTATTTATTTTTTTCCTGAAAGTTTTTGTTTAATATTTTCAGACTGTAGTTGACTGTGCTTAGCTGAAACTGCAGGAATTAAAGCCATGGATAAGGGAGGAAGTGCTGTATTGTAAATACATATACAGGAAGATATAGATACAGGTATGTCTATATTCATTTCATCTGAGAAAGGGATAAGTATTCTGCAATTATAAAACCTCTTGACTTATGAAGCCCTATATAGTTTTAAACATTTGATGCTTCCTCCACCTGTTAATGACCTTTTTACTTATGCTTTCATATTTTTCTTGTCACTGGATGATAATCTTTTCAATAAGTTTAAAATTTATACTTTCTTTTTTTTACTTCTAACCCAGCACTTTATTTTTTTTTTAACTTTCATTTTAAGTTTAGGGATACACAAGCAGGTTTGTTATATAGGTGAACTTGCATCATTAGGGTTGCATCATGCGGGTTGGTTGAAATATAGATTATTTCAGCAACCGGGTATTAAGCCTATTATTCATTTTTTTTCCTCATTCTCTCCCTCCTCAACCACCCATGCTCTGATGGGCCCAGTGACTATTGTTCCCTTCTATGTATACATAGGTTGTCATCATTTAGCTCCCACTTTTAAGTGAGAATATGTGGTATTTGGTTTTCTGTTCCTGTGTTAGTTTGCTATGAATAATGGCCTCCAACTCCATCTATGTTCTTGCGAAGGACATAATCTCTCTTTTTTAAATAGTTCCACAATGTTTCATGATATATATGTACCAAATTTTCTTCATCTAGTCTGCCACTGATAGACATTTAGACTGATTTTATGGCTTTGAAAATAATGTTAGTATAAAGAGTTTGTATCACTGTAAATCCATTTGCTATATTCTGACATAAATATATTGTCTTTTATATTATTAGTGTTTATCCTCTTTACTGGCTGATTGCAATGAAAAATAGCTTATACATCTCATGCTTATGGATGGGTAAAATCGATACTGTGAAATGACCATACTGCCCAAAGCAATCTACAGATCACATGCAATTCCCTAAACTACCATCATCATTATTTACAGGACTAGAAAAAACAAATCCTAAAATTCTTATGGGACCTAAATAAGAGCCCACATAGACCCAACAATACTGAAAAAAAAAAAATCTGGAGGCATCACATTACCTGACTTCAAACTATATTACAAGGCTATAGTTACTGAAACAGCATGGTACTGGCCATTACATGTGTATAAGGATATATTATTGTGGTTTTGGTCTTCAATAATTAAAATCTCCATAAATACTACCCAAAGGGATCTTCAGATTCAATGTATTTCATGCAAAATCTTACTGCTAATTTTTAAAGAAACAGAAAAAAAATCCTAAAAATTATATGCAATTACAAAAGACTTTAAATAGCCAAAGGAGAAAGAAAACATCTTGAGAAAGAAAACAAAGCAGGAACCATCATACTTTCTGATTTCAATTATATTACAAAACTACAGTAATTAAATAGCATGGTACTGGACTCAAGACAGACATACAGATGAATGGAACAGAATACAGAGCTTGGAAACAATCCTACATGTATATAGTCAAATGACCTTTCACAGGATTACAAGAATATGCAATGGGGAAAAGATTATCCCTTCAAAAAATGTTTCTAGGAAAAATTGAATATGCATATGAAAAAGAATGAAATTGGACCTATGTCTTACACCATATTAAAAAAACAACTCAAAATAAATTAAAAGTTTAAACATAAAACCTGAAACTACCACCTCTATAAGAAACATAAGGAAAATCTTCAGGATATTAGGCTTGGGAAGGACTTGCTGGATATGACATAAAAAGCCAAGCAACAAAACCAAAATTAGACAAGTAAGACTACATCAAAGTCAAAGGCTTCTGCACGGTGAGGAAAACAATCAGCCAAGCAAAAAGGCAGCCCACAGAATAGGAGTAAATATTTGTACATGATATATCTAATAGGGGATTAACATCAAAATATATAAACTCAATAGCAACAATAACAATAATCTTATTTTAAAATAGACAAAGGACTTAAACACAGTTTTTTCCCCAAGAAGACATACAAATGCCGACAGTTGTATGAAAAGATGTTCAACATCAGTAGTCATCAGGGAAATTCAAATCTGAAACATTTGAAATCAGAGGCCAAATAAATGTATTCATGCAATAAGTAGCAGCATGCAATGCCTTATTCCAGAATCATTTACTTTTGATTATTAAGTAAATCATCATGTTGCTATTTTGAAACAGGAGATAATTGGGGCATATTCCTCTGGGGACATCGCCTGTAGATTTCACCAACGGTTGATTACAAAGATAAAAACAATCTAGATTGGTCATATTCATAGAGTACCTAAAACTGCATTTGTTGTTCCACAGGTAAGAGAAAATTTCAGATAATTTCAAGAATATTGTAGCAGCTAGAACCTACAATGTCAAAAGAAGCGATGTTGTTTTGTAGTAAACTGTTTAGGTACTAAATACCAACAACAAAACACTTCAGTTCTGGACTATTGCATATGTGAATCAAGCGTATTCAGTAAAATATGATTTATTTAGAGTTATCCCTAAGAATTAAAAACCAACACTTACTATAAAATAAGAAAAAATAGGGAATATTGAGTTTGTACTTGTAGAGGTAAATAACAGAGCTCCTAATAGACTGTATGCTTTAATTTTTCTGATAGACAAAGATAGTTCAAAGTATAAAGGAAATAAATTTATCAGTAAATATCAATATAGGACAAAACATTTGACATTTTCATTTATGTGGGGTCTTATATTTTGAGGTAGTAAGGAAAACAATCAATAATTATTTTAAATTTGTTTTCTGGAGGCTCATCTAGAAGTCATTTCCGATTATTCCTTATTTTATGTTTCTCTAGATTTAATGGTTTAAAAAATACAAATACATCAAGAATCGTGTTTTGCCTTACCTTTATTTCCCTGAGGTCAGCAGAAGGGTAGGAAGAAGAGTGTTCCAGTTGCAGAATGAAGCCACGTAAAATATGAGGCCATGAAAAAATGCAAAATTTTCACGTGCAATGAGAGAAACACGGGACTGAATCTTGACTCTGGAAATTATTAGCTGTGAAAGTTGCTATGAAGGTGAAATAGCTAATGTGCATAATAAGTCTGTTCTTGCAGCAAGTACTAAATAAAGGGCTATATTTAGCAAACCTAGTGTGTCATCATTACATTCATAATATTTGGAGTTTTCTGCCTTCCTTTAAAATTTGATTCATAGAAATAGATTTACATTAATTTTAGAAGTTGATTCTATATTATTAAATCATCAAGAATCATAGTTATTTTCTCTTTGTAACTCTGAATCTTTGTGCTAATATTAACTTAGTTTTTACCCAGTATAACTTCTTTTGGCATCTAGTCGAAATGCCTGTCTCAAGTGAAATTTAGTTGACGTATCTTATTTGAACAAAGCAAAATTAAGACAACTTTAATGTAGGAAATGGGATCATGGTAATTTGCATGTTTATTTCTGGTATAAAATGATCAAATAATTCACAAACCATCTTCATTCTCCAAAGAATAATTCAGAGATATTTGAATGAGCAGGGGAAAAAAACTGTAATTGTTCATTGGATTTAAAATCTTGATAGAATACTCTGTATTCTATCAAGAACCAACCTAAACCAACCTATTCTATAATCAAAGTTATTTTACATATTCAACTCTATTAATGTAATTTTCCTTCAACATTTACTCCAATCTTGTAAAATAACTATTAATATTCTCATTCCATGCATAAGTAGATTATAGCAAATCATTTTGCATAATTGCTAAAAGTTCTAAAATTCTGGCATTGTATTCCAATGCTCTGTCCCCTAATATACCTCTTATGTGTTTGGATGCCAGAGGATTTTTTTTTTATTATTGTACTTAAGGTTCTGGGGTATGTGTGCAGATCATGCAGGATTGTTGCATAGGTACATACGTGGCAAGGGGTTTTCTGCGTCCATCCTCCCATGGCCTATATGGCATTTCTCCCCATGTTATCCCTCCTCAACTTTCCCATCTGCCCCTGTTCCTCCCCCTCCCCCCAGTGTGTGATGCTCCCCTCCCTGTGTCCATGTGCTCTCATTGTTCAACACCTGCCTATGAGTGAGAACATGTGGTGTTTGATTTTCTGTTCTTGTGTCAGTTTGCTGAGAATGATGGTTTCCAGATTCATCCATGTCCCTACGAAGGACACTAACTCATCATTTTTATGGCTGCATAGTATTCCATGGTGTATATGTGCTGCATGTTCTTTGTCCAGTCTATCATTGATGGGGATTTGGGTTGATTCCAGGTCTTTGCTATTGTAAACAGTGCTGCAATGAACATACATTTGCATGTGTCTTTATAATCCTTTGGGTATTTTTTAAGCCACTCTTTTTTGTGTATTTTAATATTTAATATGAAAACAGCTAATGCAATTCAATGGTACATTAACCAGTAAAACTGATGATTTCAGAAACAGAAAAAGTTCAGCCAACTAATGAACACCCAGTTCTTCCATTTGATTCTGCAATGAGTGGCATGAACATATGACTGACCAGTTTCTCACTGTCCTTTGATTTGCTGCTAAAAAATTATGCACTGCTGAAAATATACTGTACAATATATACAAGAGCACAGTTAACATCCTTTTGAGTCATGGTATTGTTCATCCTTTTTGTCATAGTATGAACTGTAATTTTATGACTATCTTCAAGTTTACTCTAGATTTAAACATGAAGAATGTCACTGAAGTTAACGTATTTGTACTGAAGGGCTTCACAGACAATCTTGAACTACAGATCACCTTCTTCTTCCTGTTTCTAGCAATCTACATCTTAACTCTCATGGGAAATTTAGGACTGATTGTACTGGTCACTGGGTATTCCCAGCTCCACAATCCCATGTACTATTTTCTTAGTGTTTTGTCGTTCTTGGATGCCTGCTATTCTACAGTTGTCACTCCAAAAATGTTGGTCAATTTTCTGGCAAAAAATAAATCCATTTCATTTACTGGATGTGCAACACAGATGCTTCTCCTTATTACTTTTGGAACCACAGAATGCTTTCTCTTGGCTGCAATGGCTTATGATCGCTATGTAGCCATCTACAACCCGCTCCTGTATTCAGTGACCATGTCACCCAGAGTCTATGTGCCCCTCATCACTGCTTCCTACATTGCTGGCATTCTGCATGCTACTATACATACGGTGGCTACATTTAGCCTGTCCTTCTGTGCATCCAGTGAAATTCGACATGTCTTCTGTGATATCCCTCCTCTCCTGGCTATTTCTTGTTCTGACACTCACATAAACCAGCTTCTACTCTTCTATTTTGTGGGCTCTATTGAGATAGTCACTATCCTGATTGTCCTGATCTCCTATTTTTTCATTCTGCTGGCCATTCTGAAGATGCATTCTGCGGAAGGGAGGAGAAAAGTCTTCTCCACCTGTGGGGCTCACCTAACTGGAGTGTCAATTTATCATGGGACAATCCTCTTCATGTATGTGAGACCAAGTTCCAGCTATGTTTTGGAGCATGACATGATAGTGTCGATATTTTACACCATTGTGATTCCCATGCTGAATCCCATCATCTACAGTTTGAGGAACAAAGATGTAAAAGAGGCAATGAAAAAAATATTTGGAAAAAAATCAGGATATCAATAAAGTATACTTTCATAGTAAAAAATAGATTTTAAAAAGTTAAGAGTGATACTCTGCACCCCAGTACCAAGAGCCTGTCATTGTGGTGTTATGATATACACTGGCTTTCATCCAAAATTCCCATAGCCCTTGTTACAGTCTTTTGTTATAAGGTTGGGTGTGTTAGGCCTCAGGGGCAGGTCTTTTACATTCTCCGGCCCTCCTTTCACTTGCCCAAGGCAGGATTCCAATGTTTGCCTTACTGATTGTGAGTCTTATGACTCTCCCATGAGAGAGTACCGCCCTAATCCTTGGGGGAAGGAATGCTGATGCCTTGAAGCTTCCATAAAACCTAGGAGGATAGGATTCAGTGAGCTTCTGGATAGCAGAACCTGTGGAAGTTGCTAGAGAGTGGCAAGGTCAGGGAGGGTATGGAAGCTCTGTACCCCTTTTCTTATACCTTGCCCTACACATCCCTTCATTTGTATCCTTTGCAATATCCTGTATCATAAGCAAGTAATATGTTTCCCTGACTTTTGTGAGCTGCTTCAGTAATTTAATGATACCCAAAGAGGGGGTCATGGGAGCTCCAACTTGAAGCTGGTTGGTCAGAAGTTCCAGAGACCCACACTTGTGATGTTCCTCCTCTCCTTGCTATTTCTTGTCTGAAACTCACATAAACCAGCTTCTACTTCAAGTGTTGTTGGGAGGCAGTTTTGAGGACTGAACCTTCAACCTACGGAATCTCCAGGTAAACAGTGTTGCAAATGAATTAGAGGAAACCAGGTTTGTTTCTACTGCGTGGTGTGGGAGGAAAAAAACCCCCACACATTTGGTCACTGAGGTTGTTGATGATTACTGTGGTATGACAGTAGAGGAAAAGCCTGGTTAGCAAGAGTTTTCCCTAGACAATAATGAAAATGTGTAATTTATTAGCATAATTCTGTTTTTTTCTTGAATGTTTTAAAATAAAGGTCATAGGTGACCCTGTACCTATGCAGTTCTTACATGTAGAAAAATCTGTGTTATTTTTTTACTATGTTAATATATTGATATATATACACACATATTTTGCATATGTATGTATGTGGATGTATTCACATATATATCAGTACATATATGCTGATAGTAATTGACATACACAAAAATGCACATTCACAGGCATTTATGTATGTAATCTTTACTTAAAAATGTACATTATTTTCTTTCATCTCCGTATAAGAAATATTTTGCTAAAATGTGTTTAATACATTTAAATCACACTTCAACACTACAAAAATAGAGCATCATCCCCCACACATATTTTTACCAAATACCTCTGGATTTATTTTCTCCTATTTGGAGGCTGTCTCCCCTCATACTACACGGTTCTTTCCTTCAAAGGTCAAAATTAAGCTATGACCATTAATATTCATCACATGTGCATGCCAAATCATGCAAATAAGGACAGCCCCTGTGTGCATGCATGCGTGTGTGTATGTGTGTGTGGTTGTGTGTATGTATGATTTAGAATAGAAGAGATGTTTAAATACCACTGAAAATCAGAAAGATTGTTAAATTTTATTCTTTAAAAATTGTAAAGTCTGCATGATAAAAAGTACCAAAAATATAAGAAAAGGCCAAGCTACAGACTTGGGAAAATAGAAACAATTATTCATTTGTTGAATTAATTCATAATTAAGTTTATAGCACAATGCATAAAATACACATAGAGAAAATTTGTAAAGAACGAAACCTCTTATGGACAATGTATATACATCAATAATAATCTAGAAAATGTAAACATTAAATGATAGAAAACACTCAAACACTTTTGGGCAATTTGCTAGCAAATACAAACTAAGGTGAGTTTACTAAATTTGAAAATTCTATAAACTAAAAGCTTTCATGAACTAATTAAACAATTTCATTTCATATATCAGACAATTTATTATCAAGAACAGTTACATGGGTGAAATAAAATTTCGGACATAATTTAAAAAGACACACAATATGTAAAATTATATCTAAACTCATTTAAAAATAATACATTGAGGCAAAATTCCCATGTGATAAAATTAACTATTTAACAGAATAATTCAGTGGCAATTATTACATTCACAGTGTTGTGTAACCACCACCTATGTCTAGCTCCAGAACACTTCCATCACTATGAAGTACACCATAAGTAGTTTCTCCCCAATTCTCACTTACTCCAGCCCCCAACAATCTGTGCTCCATTTCTGTATTTTCCTATGCTGGATATTTTCCATAAAGAAATCATAGAAAAGGTGATCTTTGTTGCCCGTTCTGCTTTCACTTAGCATAATGTTTTCAAAAATTATTTGAAAACATTTCATGCCTGTTGTAGGATGAGTTGATTTTTCATTTATTTTATTTTATTTTATTTTATTATTATTTTTTAAGATGAAGTCTTGCTCTGTTGCCAGGATAGAATGCAGTGGTGGGATCTCAGCTCACTGCAACTTCTGACTCCCTAGCTAGAGCAATTCTCCTGCCTCTGCCTCCTAAGTAGCTAGGATTATAGGTACGTGCCACCACGCCCAGCTAGTTTTTATATTTTTAGTAGATATGGGGTTTCACCATGTTGTTCAGGATGCTCTCAATCTGCTGACCTCATGATTCGCCTGCCTTGGCTTTCCAAAGTGCTAGTATTTCATTGTAATTCTTATTTACAATTCTCTAATAACTAATGTTGAGTAACTTTCATGTGTTTATTGGGCACCTGTTTGTCTTTCTGGAGAAATTTTTATTCAAATATGTTTGTCATTTTTAAGTAGGCTACTAAGGTTATTTGACTCCTTAATGTTCAGTTGTAGTTTTTTGACGTATTCTAGTTATCCAATACCTATTAAATGTATTTGAAGATACTTCTACTATTTAGGATGTCTTTTCACTGTCTTGATAATGTCCTATGATGAACAAATATTTTTAATTTTGATGAAGTTTGATTGATCTATTTTTTGTTATTGTTGCTTGTACTTTGGGTATAATGTTTAGAAATCTATTGCCAAACACAGAGAAGGTCATAAAGACTATCTCTCACATTGTCTTCTAAGAGTTTTATAATTTTACTCTTGTATTTAGGGTGTTGATTTGAAGTTAATTTTTGTGTAAAATTAGATGTAGTGGTTCTTCTTCATTATTTTGTGTGTGGTTATCAGTTGTCCAGTAGACTAAATGTATTTTTAATTATTATTTAAAAGTTCAAAGTAAGATTTCAATGATATTTCATTGTTTCCTTTTACTTAGCAAAATAGGAGCTTCCTGGCATGATAAAACTGCTAGAGGTTTGAGTAGAAAAATACTATCAACTTTTTTTTTTGGCTATATGAACATTGAATATTTACAAATGTAAATATTAAGATATGTTATAAATAGAAACACTAAAACATTTTTGTTGAATTGACTAGATTTGAAAATATTGACACTATATGGCCTAGTAATTTCCAAGTGTCATCCAAGTGTATAGACTTGATAGAATATTGTATGAGAGAAAAATGAGGACTCAAAAAGATGCGAATTACATTATTTCATGTAATATAGAAGACACAACACAACTAAATTTTTTATCTAGTTTAAATGCATAAACAAATCTATATCAAGATATTTAAATAAAATAACATTATTCCAAGAAAAACTAAGTCAATCAAAAATTATATAAACATCATAAATTCACTTATGTAAACTTAAAACTATGTAACTAGAAATGACATATCATTTATATACCAAAAATACAATAGTAAATTGATTTTATTTTAAAAACTAGATAGCATTTATTAACCTTGAAGACATTGTGTTAAGTAAAATAAGTCAGTCCCAGGAGGACCAATACTCTATGATGTCACTTACATAAGATATGCAAAATAATCAAATGCATAAAAGCACAGAGGAGAATTGGAGTTTCCAGGTGCTGGGCAAGGGGGCAGGCATAAATGGTGAGTTACTATAAAATAGATACAGCAATTCAGTCATGCTAGAGTATTAAGTTCCAGAGATGTCCTGTATTTATCTATTTTTTGTTACTACTATTACCCCTATAGGTAATATTGCTTCAATGTATAGTTCCAACTTTTTAAGATGATAGGTCTCATGGTAAGTGTTCTTAAAAATATAAAGACTTGAAAAGAGAATAAAAGATTGTGATAGTCAAAAGTGGTTAATTCTGAATAAAATGGAAGAAATGGAAATGAGAGAAGTTGGATAAGTGAAAATTAGATTGTATTTAATGATGCATTATTTTAAAATAATAAGACATATAATATAAAACTATTGATTAATTTGGGTGAGAGAAATATAGTGTCTAGAAGGTGTCTAGACATAACTTTTGCACCTACAATGCTTACAGACTAGCATATTCCACACAAAAAGTAACAAGAAAATGCTGTAAGTATTTAATTATGATGCTTCTATATGCTTTGAGGGAAGATCACAGGCTCATATAAAAAACATATTTTCCATCCAAATAATTTTAATTAATCACTAGAAATAAGACCAGATATACGATGAGTGTAAGAAGAATTTTAATTAATACTTCTCCTTGTCACATTAAGAAATCATTTAAAAATTGATACTCATTTTTTTATAATCACTCATTCACATGTTAAATTTATGTTTTATACCACCTGGTTTTTTCTTTTTTACTTATTTGCAGGAGTTGCTCTTGATGCAGAATGGGGGCTTTACATTTAGTTCTGTTCCCAATATTCATATTAAAATTGACCATTGGAAACAGAATTCTGTGCTGCTTTCTAACTATTAATTTTTTTCATCCCAGGGCCAAGAGCATCAATTCCCCATTTATATACAGGTAATTGCATTCTTTTTTTATTCAATGGGATTATCTAAGTGAGTCCCTAGGCAATCTCCACATTTTCACTCTCTGGGTAAAGTTTTGAGTGGAATCTTGGCTAATGAATGTTGTTTGTCTTTCTGTCTCTGGGGGATCAGATGGAAAATCTTATTGTCATGTTTGGGGACTGGGACCTAGAAACAAACATATTCAGTATGAAGGCCTTCAGAAACTTCAGACACTTAAAAAACTCTAGCATGCTTCCAGCAGGAGCCTTGGGTCTGGGCCTCACCAGGTATCTCTACACGGGTAGGTTACACCAAATATTTTACTTCTTACTAAGCTGCATGTAAGAATCAATTATAGACCGAGCGCGGTGGCTCAAGCCTGTAATCCCAGCACTTGGGGAGGCCGAGGCGGGTGGATCACGAGGTCAAGAGATGGAGACCATCCTGGTCAACATGGTGAAACCCCGTCTCTACTAAAAATACAAAAAATTAGCTGGGCATGGTGGCGCATGCCTGTAATCCCAGCTACTCAGGAGGCTGAGGCAGGAGAATTGCCTGAACCCAGGAGGTGGAGGTTGCAGTGAGCCGAGATCACGCCATTGCACTCCAGCCTGGGTAACAAGAGTGAAACTCAGCCTCAAAAAAAAAAAACAAAAAACAAAAAACAAAAATTGGCTGGGCGTTGTGGCGCGTGCCTGTAGTCCCAGCTACTCGGGAGGCTGAGGCAAGAGAATTGCTTCAACCTGAGAGGCAGAGGTTGCAGTGAGCCGAGATTGTGCCACTGCACTCCAGCTTGGCTCCTGGTGACAGAGTGAGACTCGGTCTCAAAAAAAAAAAAAAAAAAAAGAGAGAATCAATTATCTTTGAGGATTTAACCCAGATTTAAATCAGACTCAGGACTGAAATGATATCTTTTGTCTTCTGTTCCAAGTAACTCAAATATGTGCCCACTGATTTCTTAGTGGAAGTGACAGTAATATAACGTAAACAGTAGTATCCAGCATCTCTATTGATAAACTAGACTGTTTGAACATTTATACCAAATAATGAATAGTCATTATGGTTAGTATATTCCACCTTAATATGAGTAATGATTTTTTTCTGCCTTAGAACTGAGATGTTTAGCGAGAACTCTGTATCATAAGTGAAGTGTCATAAGTGTCTCCAACGCATATGATTTGATGTTTCAAAGA